TTGTAGAGTATTTGGTTATAGCTACACAGAACTACAAGTAGTAAAGGAACAAAGTCAATTCCTTCCAAGTGCCTAAAGCTTCAGAATCCTGGCACTCCTTGTTCCATGTAAACACAAGTCACAGACTTTGTGAGGGGGTTGGGGGCTAAATTTACTATAGTGGTCAAAAATCCAAGGAATTGAAATAATAATGTTGTAAAACATTAGAATACATAGATTTAGTTAATTCTCAAATAAACAAAGACATCCAAGTGGTAAAAGCAACACTCTACTATTATTGGTGTAAAAACATAGTGTGAGTGTTTAAGTGTATATCCAAAATCATTTGTGTTCATCATTATAAGTTGTCAAAGTACAGTACTGTTTAAACTAAAAATGACTTTAAAAAATATTTTGGCTTAGTCTCATTAATCAAAAAGCCTAAATATAACATCTTGATTCTAAGATTTCAGTTTATCATCTTTCACTACAGAAGACTTTTGACAGTAAAGTCCATTTATCTTCAGAGGTAAATGAAGGGAAGGAAGTACTGCTAACAAGAAAAATATTTTGGAACAGATCTCCCAAGAACAACATTCTAATACTGCTTGAATTTGTTAGAGATGTAACAAATTAGAAAAAAAAAGCTAACAGAGAAGGTCAGACAGACAGGTTTAAGTCATGCATTAGAGAGGTAGAACTCTGTACAATTAACTACTAATCATCCCCACACTATTAAGTGTCCACAGACACTTTAAATTTTTTTTTCCTTCTTCAAGTATTTCAATTCATGACTTTTGTTGTTTCCTAGAGATTTCAAACAAGAAGGGGAAATTTGCTGACTGATTTAAAATAAAATTTATTGCATTTGTTTGTGTATGCACATGCATCATGACATACACAGAGGTCAGAAGACAACACACAGGGTCAGATCTCTCCTTCCACCATGTCGGTCCAGGGAATCAAACTAACATCAACAGGCCTGGCAGCAAACACTTTTACCCACTGAGCCATCTCACCAGGCTTTACTAATCTTAAATAGAATCAAACTCACTCTATCTTACATTGTTCTACAGAAGTATCTTTTTACATATTAAAGTACATTGTGGGACCTTAACTGACTTGTATTTTTCCTACATCTTGAAATCTTTTTGCTACTTCCACCATTCTAGGTTACCACTGCTCAATCTTAACTATGCTAAAAACAAAGAAAACAAAAATTGAAGAATGATTCAACTGCCTAGAAAAAGGACAAGCCAGGCGGTGGTGCCACATTCCTTTAATCCCAGCACTTGTGAGGCAGAGGCAGGTGGAACACTGCAAGTTCGAGGCCAGCCTGGTCTACAGAACTATTTCCACGACAGGGAGGGCTGTTATACAGAAAAACACTGTCTCAAAAAAACAAAACAAAATGAACAACAACAACAACAAAAAGTATTAGAAAAGACACAAGAGTGAACTAAATCTGATTAATGTAAGATCTTTCACTTTTTTTTTCAGTTTTCTTATTGGTTTTTAGAAAATATTACATTGCTTCTCTTCTCAGTAGGTATAGTATAGAAGACTGACTTGATGACCATCCTTGCAGTCAGTGTCTGAGAACACAAACTTTTCTTCTAGTCATACACAGACTCAGTACCTAAAGGCCTGCAAATTAAACTTAACGAAAAATTAGGAAAAGTTACACTAACTTCATTCTCAAGAATTCACAGAAGATTGAAACTCACAGAAATGGCTAGATTTGGAGGATTATTTATCATCTTAACAGAGAAGTTTAGGATCTGAGCAAGAATAAATCACTGGGAAGCTGGATAAGGTATCACATGTCTCAAATTTCAGAACTCAGGAAGCAAGGTCATCTTGGGACATACTACCAGTACCAGGCCAGCCTGAGCTACATAAGACTCTGCCAAACAAAATAAAAAACTAAAAACAAAAAGACTGGAAAGAGACTAACAAAGAAAAAAGCTATTTTAGCAAGGTATGTTTTTGCAAACTAACCTTCTTCAGATATAGGAAATTTAAGTCCTGCCCTTAGCCAAAGAGAGCAGAATTCTTCATGCATCTTTTCATTCTCAATTGCCTTTTAACTCAAAATACTCTTTACACCAAAGTGACATTATTTTGTGATAGTATGTCCTGATCCTCATCTGTTGTTAGTTTTCACTGAATGTGGTTAAAATTTCTGGTTTACTACTCTTTGCCTATATAATGGGGAAAAAATTGACAATTCACAATGCGATAAACCAGAAGAATGAAAAGAGAGCAGCAACACAGACTTTGACTGTGATACATAAGTGTACCATATAAAGGAAATCTTGGAGGCTTCCTAAGAGGTACCCAAGACAGACTTTCTCAAACTTAACAATCAATAAATAAGTAATATTTGTTTTAAGAAAGAGAGAATATGCCAGGCAGTGGTAGTGCACAGCTTTAATCCCAGCACTCAGGAGGCAGCGGCAGATGGATCTCTGGTCTACAGGGTGAGTTCCAAGACAGCCACAGCTGTTGCAGAGAAACCCCCATTTCAAATAAACAAACAACAATGTGTAGTTATAAATTTTCTATTGAATAAATACAACAGGTATGCTAAATATTTATTGTATTACTCTTTTCTACTTTTAGTCTTTCGAGGCAGTGCTTCTCTGAGTAGCTTTGGTGCCTGTCCCAGAACTCCCTCAGTAAACCAGGTTGGCCTTGAACTCACAGAGATCCCTCCAACTCTGCTGGATAAAAGGTGTGCTCCACCACCACCTAGTTTACTCTTCTCAACTAAAAAAGGTAATGTTGAGAAGAAAAACACTCAGCTGGAGGAGTGCATACTAGGCTTAACTAGAGAGAAGTGAGATACTAAGATTTATAGTGCTCCCACAGCAAGCTACCTTAGATCTAACTCACTGTGGCTCACTATTGCTACACAGCTCCAAACTTTCCAAGGCAAAATGTTTTCCAACTATTCTCTTTACCTCTTACAGGGTAGAAACAATTCCAAGGGTTTTTGTTCGAGGCAAGGTCTCACTACGCCACCCTGTTGGCCTAATCACACAGGAAGATCCATCCACTTACTTGCCTCTGCCTCCCAAAGCACCACACTTGGCCAATTCCAAGTTTCTTAAATTGAGCACATTCTACTCTCCAAAACTGTTCCTCTTCTTCCTAATTCTTCTCAGAATGTCTCCCTCTAAATACCAGACAGATGCAGGTAAATTCATACTAAGCACTAAAACCAAGCAAACTGCAAAAGGAGGTTTCAAAAGTCAACATTTGAACTAAGAGACCAAAGCTATGATTACTAAGTCGTCTCACACTTTATGATATGAATTATATATCTGCATGATTTGTAAAATAGTGGAAAAATATGTAATACATACAAATAGTCTTATTTTTCTTTGGTAATGTGCTATAGTATAGAGGGAAATGGCCTCTTTTATTTACCGATGTACATATCCAGTACTTAGGGGTGAACTGTCACATCTGCAACAAACACATTCAGCAGGCTGAGACAAAGCAAATGTGGCAACATGTTTACAAAATCTCACCCCCGGTAGACATCTGGACGCGCCATACTCAAGTTTCTAATATGATCAAAAAATATGACCACTAATAACATCCAAAGGTAACATGATCTCAAAAATTAAAATGTAAGAGTATGGAAAATTGAAGGCTATTCCTTTAATATGGAGGCCTAGGACTTCTTCCTACTCTCAGCCATCTCACTTTAACGAAAATGGGGCACACAATGGTGAGGTGAGGGCTGAATGAGGAGTCAGAACACCCAGGCTCTGTGATTGGCCAGGGAGCCCAGGGTTCTCACTGAAGCCAACTCTGAGGCCGACCCTCCAAACAGCCCTCCCCTTTGGAAAGGGGCCCAAAGGAATACATTAAGTGACATCAGTGACAGATACAAATACAAAAATTAAAAAAAAAAATTTACAACAGCGTTAGTGCGGATGTAGGACAATCAAAAGCACAAGGTCCTCAAATCCAAGCCTTCGCCATCATATTATTTACATCCAAACAGCCAGAGTTGGTTCAGTCACCTCCCAGAGCAGGAGAGCTTACAAATGCCCAAGAGGGTCTTTTGGACTTCCTACTCCCCTCGGGTGATTATGTTTAAGGGCACTAAAAGACGCCCAATGATTTAGACGATTCCGTCCAAATTTGGAAACAATAACGCCGAGTATCTAACTATGGCAGGCTGAATAGAAAAACACATCTTCGCCAAGCCAAAGGCCTCCTTGCTGGCAGCAGGTTGCCGTCCGTTTTTCTCTCTAGAACGCTTCCTAAGGCTTTTCCAATGGCAGGTGAGTCGTGAAAACATCTCTTGAGCAACCTAAAACCTCAAAGGGCGATCACTCGCTTGTGGTTTATTAAGTGAAACCTGCAAAGCTCGCTGGAAAAAAATCTGTCCGACTCGGACTCGCTTCTGCTCAAAACCCTTCTCGTGTAGACAATAACGGGACTCGTCTGACACAGTGGGGACATCCCTTTGACAAGAAAGAAGGCTGTGAGCCTGCAAAGGAGCGCTCGTCTAGCAAAGGCAGGGCCTCTGGGGCTGTTACAGCGGACGCCATTGCAATGGGTTCGGCTCTTGCTTGAAGAGTAGAGTGGGTTTGTGTTGTGAGGAGGTCAGGTCTCCGCCACACACCCGCGGACAGGGTACAAAGGACCGAGGGGGAGTCGCCTCCTGAGAGCGAAGCCCGGCCGAGGAGAGCGCGACGCTGGGGCGGGCCTGCGCTGCCGTGTGGCGGCGAGCCGAGGCGGAGGCCGGGCGGCCTGGACCGTGGGGGCCGCCGCTCTGCCGTCCACCTCGCCTCGTCGCGCCGGGATCCCTCCCGCGCCAGGCCCGGCAAGATGGCGGGCCAGTCACACGCGCAGCCGGCCCGTGCCCGGCCCGGGCGCTCCTGCCGACGCGCCGCGGCCCGAGACCCCCACCCTGCGCCCCCGGAGTGCGGCGGCGCGGCCGCGCGGGAGGGCCTTCGCGGGCGGGCGGGCGGCCGCGCGGGGCGGGGGGCGCTTACCGTGAGCGGAGCGGCTCGGCCTGACTGGAGCCCTGAGGAGGAGGAGAAAGAGGAGGAGGCGAGGGAGGAGCGCGGGCCGTGCGCCGCAACCGCCGTGGCTCCCATCGCGGAGCGGGCTGCGGAGCACCGCGATGGGGGAGGGGGCGTCGCGAGTCGCGGCGCGCTGCCTCATGGGTAGGCTCCGAGTCGGCCTCACGCGTCCGCGCTCCCCGTCTTCCCGCCAACGCGGAGGCGAGCACGGGCATGTGCGTCGCGTCGTGGGCCCTCGAAGGCCACGGGCCGCCGGTGCCCTGGCGGCCCGAGAGGCCACTCGGGGACAAGGCTGAGGGAGGCCGTGGTGCCCTTGGGCCACCTCAGGCCTGGGAACCCGTGGGCACTCAGCCGTGGGTTTCGGGCTCCCGAAAGCGTGAACCTGAGAGGAAGAGGAATTCGGTTTCTATGATGTTACCGATTTTTTTTTTTAGCATAACTCTTTTGTTTGGATATCTCTTTCATTCCTGTCGTCTAAATAGTAGCCTGTAATTGGAAAAAAAAATAGCCAGATCTGTAAAGAAACTGCCCCGAGCTTGTCAGAAACGTAGATCGACGTTTGGGTGTTTTCACGATGTCAGTTTTTTTAAATAACGATAAATTCATGAGGGATGAAGAGATGCTCAGGGATTAAAATCCTTGTTGCTGCTCTTCCAGAGGGCCCAGGTTGGGGGTCTCAGCACCAGCATGGCTGCTGACTTCAGTTCTTCATGGGCTTCTAACTCCAGTTCCGGAGGATCTGCCTCCCTCTTCAGGCCTAAGTAGGCAACAGACACTAAAGTGACACAGACAATTATGCAGGCAAAACACTGATAATTATAAAAGTAAATTCAAATACTATGAGACTTTCATTAGTTACTTTCTACTAAGTAGCCTATATTATCATAGATAGCGATCTGTTGGCATTTACAACTTCTTTTATTCTTTTATAACACCGTATATTTCACACATGAAGGCTACAAAAGGTTTAGAGGCCACAAAAGATTTTAAAGGAGACAAGAGCAGAAAGCCGGTATCTATGCAAAGTGAGTCGCTGCAGGTGGTAAGGAAAGGTGTCTAGAAAACCAGCAGGAGGCCCACAGAGCTGGGGCTGCAGAGCCGGTCCACCGAGGCAAAGAAGGAAACAAGAAACAAGACCCATCAGAAAGATGAAAGGAGGGCCCTTCAAGTAGGCCGAATGCAGCAGGAGAGAATAATTATGAACAGTTAGGAGTTGCCTGCCTGGCACACCAAGCTGTCAGTGGACAGGTGGACAATCCAGTCCCGGTCTCAGTGTTAGGTACCTGTATTCATCAAGGTTCCCTAGAGTAACAGAAATTATAGAGCGAATCTCTCTATGTGCAAAGAAAGGGATTTTATAGAATGGCTATGTACACAAAAGTCAAGAATCCAGGCCGTGTGGTTCAGCTGGTCTGTAGTTTGCCCTGGAATTCCGAAGAAGCAGGCTGTAATGCAGTAAAGGAATGGGATTGCTGGAAGGTGAGGGCAAGCAGACAGAGAGCAAAAGCTTTTTTCTTCCCTGTCCTTAGTGTAGGCTTCCCGCAGAACGTGCGCTCAGGGTAGAGGTGGGGTTTCCCACCTCCAATGGTTAGGATTAAAGGTGTGTCTTCCTATCTCAAAGATAAAGATTACAAGTGGATCTTCCTACCGCCGATTAAGCAAAAGGTGTGCCCTCCATTTCTGCACTGTAGTCCAGTTAACTAAAGTCAAGTTGACAACCAAGGTAAGAACCAGCACCGTGCCCCTCCTTTTATGACCCAGGTGAGACTGTTGCTGCCTATTGACCTGGTGTGGTCTATAAATTCTCAGGACTGCTATTTTTTTTAATTGACTTTTAATTGCTCATCTGCCCACACGTTCTTAATCCAATTTATAGGACCTGCCTTTTTGGGGTTTTGTTTTTGGTTTGATTGGTTTTTCAAGTCGGAGTTTCTCTGTGTATCTCTAGCTGTCGTGGAACTCACTCTGGCCTCAAACTCAAGAGTTCCTCCTGCCCCTGCCTCCTAAGTGCTGGGCTTAAAGGTGTGCCCTCCCACCACCCAGCTATGGAGATGCCTTTCTATTTGCATGTATAAATTATCGTTCTACCACAGCGGGGCAGTGGTAGGGCACACTTTTAATCCCAGAATTTGGAAGACAGGCAAGGGATGTCTGAGTTGGAGGTCACCATGATCTAAAGACTGAGTTCAGGGGATGGAGAGGTGTCTCAGCTTCCTGGCACTCAGGCAGTATCCTAGCCAGCCCAGGGTCCTACAACTGCTAAGTCACTATGGAGTCTTGCGCTATGCCCCCTTCCTCCCCTCTCTCTTTCCATGCAGCTCCTCTTGCGCCTGCTCCCGCACCTCCCACCCGAGTCTCTGCCTCCCTCTCTCTCTCCTCTCTTCCTCTTTCTCCCTTCTACCTCACCTGTCTCCAGAGATCGGTCTCTCCCCTCCCCTGCCCCCTTTCCATCCCTTTCCTTATAAAAACTTCCGTGGGAGCTCCGTCGCTTGATGACATCTCTTTCTCCGGACCTTTTTTTAAATTATAACAAACCCTGTCTCAGAAAACCTTAATAAATAAGAAGTTAAAAATATCGGTCAGCCTCCCAACAGTGTCTACCTATATATTCGTACTCAAGCCGGAGCCAGTCAGGGCCGGGTACGACGGGACCACTGCAGTTTTCATACACATAGCTCTGGATGATCAATGACATTAGTGGCCTAAGGTTCATGCTGGAACATCATTCTTGACTCCCACGTGTTCGGGTGGAAGTTCCATCCCAAGCCCCCTCCCGTGGGAGTTGTCTCAGTCCAGACTCCACCTCCGAGAAAGCCCGCCAAACGATTGCCCCTCCCCCCAGAAGCTCAAGACCACTCCCACAGGGTATTTAAATTGTACTCCATTGAAGAAACACGTAGTTTTCCAGTCTTCCTTCCTGGCTCCTTTCTCTGGGGATGGAAGCATTGATATCCATTAAACCTGGGCTTTTACTGATTTGGTTTGACTGGGTATGACTTGAATTATTATGTCGGCAGAGAGGTTTATCAGGGTGCGGACACTTTTCACCACACCTATCAAACACCGGATCTTACAAACCTATCTTCCTAGGTTAGCTTTCTTCTCCAGCTCCAAACTTTTGGCTAGTATTCCTCATTCCTGTAGCCAACATGCTGATTACCTTCCCAGATTAGCATTCCCAAGAAACTTTCAAATAATTTTGATTATTGCATCCTTAAAATTCCTTCTTGGCTTCCAGTGACAGTAACAAGAGGCACTGGGGATACAGGCTGGTGAAGGTGTGATTTTTTTTCAATTCGCCCCCGAAAAAAATTCAGTCTGGACCAGTATAAAACAGAACTGAAGTTTTTTTGGAAGAAAGTTTGGCACATATTCAATCATGGCGGGGGGGGGGTGTTAAGAGAAAGAGGAGGACTTGGGGGCAAATGGCACTAATGTTAGTATTCAGGCATCTGTACTGGCCTGCCCTTGGGGTCCCAACAGGGTCCGTCCTCAGCAGCAGTCACTATGAGCTCTTCCTCTGCATGTTCACTTTGTTCATTTTAAAAGGTGGGACTGTCTACCTCCTGTCGCTTTCTCTGTTTCTCTCCCCCCCCCCCCCCCGCCCCATCCTTCTCCCTCTCTCTTCCTCTTCAGCCTCTCTTGTCCCCAGGGACCGGTCTCAACCCCCTTCTCTGCTGCTTCTCTTTCCTCTACCAATAAACCTACCCTCTGAGCACTGTTGCATGGCATTACTTCTCTTTGCGGCGTTTTTTAAATTACAGCTAGTATTGGAAATAACATAATAACAAGCTCAAGAGAGTACTGGAAAAGAAGCAGTTTTTTTAACAACAATTATGGAGAAGGGATGTTGGTTTTAAAGAAAAAGCCAAAAAAAAAAAAAAAACGACCACTAGATTACGAATTTGGCAGAAGAAAGTGGTTTTTAAAATCCTCCAATCATGAGAAATTCCTGTTCTCTCTCTTCTCCAATCCTGAACTTGCTCTTCTTCCAAACTCCCCATCTCATTGGCCCAGGACACAAAACCTTATTCAATGAACAATTTGAAGCTTAGACTGCACTCCTCCAATCCTGGTTCAATTACAGAACTTCCTAACCGAGTTCTTCCATAGTCAGACACATCTATGGAAGGAAAGTCCTATTGAAAATGGACTATAACAATCTATTTCTTACAGTAGTATGTACTATGAGCCCCACACTCCAATGCCAGGAAAGGAAGGGTGTTATTTGAAACTGGGAGGTTAAAAAGAATTCAAGGAGTTGCAAGCAGATAAGACAATTTATTGCTAGGTGGTGGTGGGACACACCTTAATCCCAGAACTCAGAAGGCAGATTCCTGTTATTCTCCGTAGTCCCCTAAAGAACAATGAAGTTGGTGGCGCACACCTGTAATCCCAACAGTTGGAGGCGGATCTCTGTGAGTTCAAGGCCAGCCTGGTCTACACAGCAAGTTCCAGGACAGGCTCCAAAGCTACCAGAATCTAACCCATCTCAGAAAAACAAATAATAATAATAATAAAGGTCAATGCTCAGACATGAAGACAACATTTATACAGAATCACACGCGCACACAAAACGGCATCCTGCCAGGACTAGTTATGACAGATGGCATCCCTTCAGCGCTGTTTGCGTCTCATATGCATCATCTCGTGCGGAATCCCTCCACTAACACCTCACACCTTTGCCACAGTGCAGCGCTTACCATCTTGGCCCACACTGAATATCCACACCAGTTCTGTGTGGTCTACACCGGACTGGACAATCCTCTGTTAGTAGCACACAGACAAGAGCAAAAGCCAGGAAAGTCACGATTGAGTGTTTTACAGAAGTCATGTGTATCAGTTTAGTGAAATTGCATCTGGAGAGCTTGCTAAGGAGCCTTTTCTTCTTTGGGCAAGTGAGTTCCTAGGGTGTTTCTGCTAGGAGTTGCTAGGATCACAGCTTGATAAGGTGACCAGGTCGATCAGCTCACCAGGTTTGTAGAGGAAACTGAAATAGTTTTACTGTAAACAAAGGATTAAACTTGTTCGTGAGATCCCAGGAAGTCCTTACTGAAAGGTCACACAGCCTTAGACCTGAGTACGGCTCCTCCCTAGATCAAGATTCCTAGTCTGTAGGACTTCCTATAAA